TAGAAGTTAAATGTCTTTTAAAAACATATCTGCAATGTCAGTATCATACTCAGGTGTTTGTGGAGGAAGAGAATTTCTTAACACCATTAACTATCTGATCATTGTTAAAATTTTTATAATTCATTTCATTTCTTTTGTTTATCTTGTTTTATTTTATATTGTTCCAATCAAATCCAAATAAAGCTTATATATTCCAAATGCTAGATATCTCCCTTAAGACATGTATTCCCCATGCATCTCTCTCTCTGTGTTTAATTTAATTTTTTTAAAGAAATCTCCACATTTTATAGAGCATTTCCCACAGTCTGGATTTTGCTGATTGCATTTACATGGTGTCATTGAACAATATTTTCCCCTCTATATTTTAATAGATATAGATTCTTGGTAAGATTCGAGTTTTCGTTTTGGCGTTTGGTGGGTATTTTGGCAAAATTTCTTCATAGATAGATTCTGTACTTCAATCAAGAAACATAAATGTCTTTGTTCTGCAGTGTGAGGATTCGTTGATGATTTTTGCCTTAATCCAGTATTATACTGGGAGTTGCAAGATGCTGGTATTCTATATTTCCTGCTCTTTTATTATCTGAAGGGTAGCTCTGCTTTGCTTCTCTCTCTCCTCTAACCTTATGATTTTCTTCTTTCTTCTGGCTTTGGGTTTAATCCTTTCTTCTTTAGTCCTTGAGGTATGCTATTGATTTGAGATCTTGTGATTTCTTCTTTGACTGATTAGTTGTTAAGAGTAGGTTGTTTTGTGGTCTCCTTCTAGCCAATTTCTAGATCTTTCTATTTAGGCTATGTTAACCCTTAGCCTGTGATAAAAGTTGCAAATATTATCCCTCCTTTATTGTATATATATTTAATTTACATTCTATGCATAAGTATTTTTTTTCGCTTTTGTTCATTTATTTTTGTCTTTCATTGGGGTTTATGTTTATAATAAAATTTATCAATCTTCTCTTTTATTACTTACAGGTTTTGAGTCATGGTGGAAAAGTTTTACTCAATTTCTGATTATAAAACAATTCATTCTTATTTTCTTTTTTTAGTCATATTATTTCTTTTTCCTCTACATCTATGTCCCATTTAAAAATTATGTTAGAATAGATTTAGAGAACGAGCCCAATTGTATCTTTTTTGCCAAACCACCATCCAGTTATCTCAACGTCACTTATCAAAAGGTTCATGTTTTTCCTACTGATTTGATGTCATCTTTATTTTATGCTTTCAGTTGCATTTCTGGAGTTTCTATTCGGTTCCATAGTCTGACTATATATGTTGTTTAACTCTGATTTTATTTTATTATTATTATTTTTTTTTTGGCAGTTTTTGACCGGGGCTGGGTTTGAACCCACCACCTCCAGCACATGGTGCCAGCGCCCTACTCCTTTGAGCCACAGATGCTGCCCTGATTTTAATTTTTAATATATTTTCCTATTGCTACTACCCCATCTCTACAAGTTATCTATATAGCTCCCACCAATAACAATACGATGAATGTATTTTTTTAAATTAAGCCCTTTTACCAATGTTTCTTTACTTTTCCACATCCTGCAAGGTAGATGGAAGGGGGCCCTACATCTCTTTGCAGACCAGGATCCGTGTGCTTCCCTCTGTTCCTGCAGTACCTGAGTATCTCTTTACCACTTCCCTGCTGCAACTATTGAGATTATCTATTTATGAATACATAAATTAGATATTTCCTGTGTCTTATGAAATCTTTGAATATAGTAATTGCTCAATCAGTGTTTGTTACTGTGAAACTGGGTGTAGAAACTGAGACATAATTCAATTACATGACTTGCCCCAAATCTTACAGAACATAACTGATGATGAGCAAGAACCCAAGACTCACTTTTTTTGGTCTGGAGCTCATTCTACTACACCACATACTAAAACAGCAAAGCAATGAAAATATCATCCACAGACAATATCCCCTACCCCTGTTTCTAAGAGCTCAGTGGTCTGCAGGCCACAACCTAGAGGTACATGTCCTCTTGGCCATATCATCAGTAGCATGGGGGCAAAAAAGGTGTCCGTGTCAGTACCAAATAGCAACAAAGAAGAAAGAAAAATATATGCTTTTTATTGAAAAATCACTTTGGCATTTTCTAGGATGTCTAATTTTGAAACACAGCAGAACCTCCATAATGGACCACTGCCCTACATTGACCACCTCCTTAAGAGGACCTAATTTTCATAGACCAGACATGTGCCACACATGCATATCAGTACAGGAGGCCTCGTTCCTTATGTTAGTCGCCTCTGTCTATTGACCAGTTTATTATAGTCCTGTGGGTGGTCAACTTACAGAGGTTCTACTTTATATTCTTTTCAGATTCAAATTTTCAGCATAGCTATTCAGCATACATTCATTTGCTTCTCAATCTTCTATTTGAAAACACATTCATCTGAATAAAGAAATACAATTCTTCTTCATGTGATACCGATCTACATAATCAACTCTGTTTACTGCCATCCTATTGTCATCTGTATGTTACATTTTTAACGTGCGATAAGGTAACCTTTTGGGGGGCTATTAACAAGACAAAACTTTTATCAGCTGCAAGTATAACCAGCAGAGAAAATGTTTGCCAGTAGCTTACTTTACACAAAGATCTGTGAAATGAATATGTAGGGAGGTTTTTTTTGTTTTGTTTTGTTTACTATGTCTCGGTTATAAGATCACCTAACTATGATGAAGTAAAACTCTATCTTCCCTCTAGCCAAGTATGTAATCCTCATTTTGGCTTCTTCTTCGTCTCTGATGACTAAATTGGAACTTTCTCAAGGCTGTAATTCAAAGCCATAGGTGACCTTAAAGAAATGATTTTTTATATGCTACCTTTTATTTTAAGGTAACTTTTCAAATGTGGACCATGCATTCCATTATGTTTAGCTGTCAAGCACGGCCTTCATTTGCATTTCTTCCCACTGCTATAATTTTGAGAACTGGCAGGTGACCAAAGAAGAAAAAATGTGCATCTACCATCCAGAGTGCAATGTAGGCTTTTTTTTTTTTATTATAATTAAGTAGCATAGATATTCATGATTAGATCAAGGTCAGAAGAGTAGAACATCAGAGCCAAGGACTTAAAGGTACAAAGAATAGGAAAATTGCTTTCTTAAATTTTTTTTTAGATAGTAAAAGCCACAATCTTTAAGTTTTACAATAAAACATTTAAAATAGCTCATCTGTTTTATTTTAAAATGTGCACGCCTGATGTGTTTGCCATGCACATTTAAACCTGAGCTTGAAGTCTCAGTAGAATTTTTCATTTCAGTTTTTTTTTTTTTCAACTTCCCACTTCTGCTCTTGGTACAAAAGAGCAATTCAAGAATTATAATGATAATGGATTTTTTTTTCAGGCTGAGTCTACATGACACTCAAAAGTATCTGTGTAGAAAGCATGAGTTTCCTATTAAAGTCTTATGGATTAATCCAAGAAGGTTGGGTGATGTTTCGATGTAGACATTTTCAACAGGACAACTATTCTAACATTCAGCGGTAATAGCAATGGTTTCAGGGGGCAACTGCCAGTCCCCAGGGGCAGACAAATTACTGTAGAGTTTCTTTTCTTGTAGCAACTAGCTTATTGACTCCCTCTTAGTCCAGCTGATCACTTTGGGATTATTACCTCCCTGCTTTCCTTATCTCTCATAATTCATCTAGCACGCCACCTACTTCTTAGTCTCCTTCACTGTCCTATCTCCTGTGATAATTTTTCCAAACTCATGTAGAGCCCTAGAACTTATTCCATGGACCCATCTTCTTTCCTTAAGTAATCTCTAGTCCCATGGCTTTTGAAGCCATCTATATACCAAATACTCAATTTTAGTGTGATCTCTCTCCTAGCCTTAAAAGCATAGTTCTACTTCCTGTTTGACATTTGACTTGGTTATCTAATGATTTCTCAAACTTATCCTGGCCAACACTCAACTTCTGATTCCCCCAGCTACAAACTGACTCCTCTCTTGTCCTCTCCCTCTTAGTGTAAGTCACGAACACCTAGTTGTTTAAGCGGGAAAAATGGATTCATCTTTAGATATTCTCATATCTTCACCCTCTTCTCACATCCCCAAATTGTACCAATTATTCAAAAACACTTCCCATTCTGTTCACTTCTCTTCATTGCTGCTTACCTTCTCTGTTGTTTCCAAAAATTCATTGTCCACAGAGCTACTTAGTTCCAGAGTAACTTATTTTTTAAATATACATCATCTGATAATGTTATCCTGTTAAAACTTTTCGATCATTTTCCATAATAGTGAGGATAAGCTTCAAGCCCCCTACCTGGGCCTGTGTGGTCTGACACCTGGCCACCTCTTAGACCTCTGCCACTCCTGATCTTCTCACTAACCAAGCTACTGCCTCATTGGCCTTTACACTTTCTGAACCTCTCCCAGCTCATTTCTACTTCTTGATATGTCTGACATGTTTCTTCCAGGTCTTTTTGCCTAATTCTAGTCCTTTGATCCTCAGTCTATACATCAATTTTTTAGAAGCTCTCCTCTTCTCTGCCCTACAATGGGACAGTATCACATCTTAACACTGTGTTATCACGGCAGGAGTTGCCTGCTATTTTCCTGCTTATAGTGTCTCCCCCAACCAAAAACAACTCAGGAGTTAGTAGGTCTCATTGACTGCTGTATTTCCTAGAGCAGTTTCTGTCTCATCATAGATACCCAGTAAATATATTGAATGCACACTGCTTTGACATCAATTACATTCACTTGCTGTACTAGCTAAAGCTTTAGACCCCATTCATACTTTGTCATTTCTAGTCTCTTGATCATTTTGCTTTTGTTGCTTTAGATATATTTCTGTATCCAATGCAATTTGTTTGTTTAAACAAATTCATTTTACAAAGTATATATTCAATGGAAGCAGTGCTTTCAAAGCTAATCTGTGAACTGTTGATTACCAGTATGCAAGGATATAATACAGACACTGAGATGAAACATATAGAAGTCTTTATGAAAAGACGAATCTTGTATCTGTTGAATTTAATAATAAAAATACCAGGGTTTAGATTTCATATATCTTTATTTTATGCTTAGATATTTCATTTTTATTGTATGTCATAAATGTATTGACCATGACGGTTGAGAAAGTCTTTAAAAACTGATGTTTTTTAATAATTAGTTCGAGAAGCACTAATCTAAGCTATGTCTGTCACTATGAAAGTCTTGAGATAAACAGTGTTACGGTCCATTATTTCACTTCCAAGAAACACAGTCGACAGCATCTTTTCTGATTCACCCATGCAAGTTTCAACTTGTTCGGCTTATTGGTGTTGCCGGGAGGGCTTGGTTTGTTTCTGGCCACACGGATTTTGTTTCTTGATTTTTGTGCATCTCAAAACTTCCATAATGACCTGTACTTCTCTTTAGAAATAAGGCGAGAGCAATACATAATTGTTTAATGGGATGGCAGGTAATCAACTTATCAGACCCAAATATATCTTGGAATAAATAGTTATGTATGTCTACAAAAAAGCAGTAGTAAGTTTAAAAATATGTTGTGTTCAATACAAATTCCTACATTTAAAATTTCAGGAGAAATTGAGGAAAACATCTTTAGAAATAGTTTGTCATCCTGCAACTAGTTATCATTGACTAGTAAAGCCTGTTTGAAAGCATAGTCATTTGGATCAATGGAAATAATAACCCTCCTGTCTACATAACACCATTTTGCAAAAGCTGAACAGAGAAAAGTAGATGAGCAACAGAGACAAGATTGTAAGGAAATGTCAGGGAGTTAAGCCTCCTAGCCCAGGCCTGCTCAAATTCAGTCTCTGGACTGTTCATCAACACATTCTAAGTTGTTCACCTTACTTAAACCTTAAGTAAACTCCTTGAAAGAGCTAGGAAAGCCCCGTGAAAGGCAGTTCTTTCTGCAATAATAAAGAGCTGTCCTTACTACTTCTTTCCTCAAAGACACAAATTGTGGCCTTTCACAGATGCTATATAAGTCCCCGGGCCTCCTCAGGGTCTGGCAATAGTAACTAAGAAGAGGCAACAGTGACTACAGATAAGAGCCCAGCTCCTGTCAGCAAATATCCCGACAGACTTCCACACGACCCAAACACGTATCACAAAGGCCACCAAAGAGCCACAGCTGTAATCATTCTTGGTCACTACCAATTTGGGCTGGATTTGATTCAGTGACTTAGAGGTTAAAGGGTTCATATTCAATTACCAGTCCCCCAGCTTCCTCAATTAATCAAAGGCTGACATAATGGATCTATTACAATTCTTAAAGAAAAGACCAGATCAAATCAATATAACCACTTTGTAGCCATAAAAAGAAATATTAATAAATACTCTTGATTTAAATATAAAAACCAATACTCTCTGACATCTAATTGAGTTTGGTTGGAATGCATTTTATCGAGAATTTCATTTTAGAAAACTTGAACACACTCAACACGACAACCCGACTATACTTTGAGTTTCTACGGCACCTTTCATTGAAGAAACACAAACATTTTCACTTTTATCCTACCATTGATCCTTCAGGAATAGATTGGTGTCTATCTAATTTGTAGGAGGGATTTATCTGGTCAAAGAAAGTGCTAGGAAAAATTGTCCCAACCATGATGGTGCAGCTGCACTATTACCTAACAGGGGTCACTTTTCTATCATTATACCAGGAAGTCCTAATGGACTCAAAGCAAAGGCAGAATCTGAAAGATCATAAAAGAAGCAACAAGAAGGTTACAAATCACCAGCAGTAAGTGACTGCTAACATCTGAAGCGATCAAATGCTTCTGACGCTACAAGCGACAGCCATATAAACCCAGAGAAAACTACTGAAAAAGTCAAAAGCCAACTAATCCGATCTGAACTTTTAGTGACACTATCAACATGTCTAAAGTCATTTAAAGAGTTCAAAGTTTAACCTTATGTCTGAGATTCAAGGATAAAGTCAAAGCAGAGAATACATTTCCCTTCATCTCCGTGTCAAAATAAGAAACCACCCTCTACCTGCCAAGTAAAGGGAGGATTATTTATATAATAATTCACATTAAAAAAATAGTACTCATTCTTTGTGTTAAGGATATAAAAGAAAGTTCAAGTTATCTTATTAATTGATGAGTTAAAGTCAGAGACTTCTGAGAGATTCTGAAACCCTTTCCTTTGGTGTGTTGTTGTCACCTTTCTTCTCTCTTTTAACATGTTCCCGTCAAGGTTATCTTTTTCATTGTTAACATCAGCTGTCAGGGGCTACCCTGGGCTGGTCGTCAGGATGCCAGAATCTTCGCCAGAAGCTTTTTCCTTTGAATCTGCCCCCTCTCAGTCACTGCACTACCCTGAATCCTCACAGCTCTCATCTTTCCGATTGCCATGTTGGGAAACCGGAGAATGATGCCTGTACTGATACATATTATCTCCAATGATTTGCAGGTTGCTCCCTCCTGACAACCTTCAGGGTGTTTATGAGTGCACTGAAAACAAGCTGCCTGCAATATGGCCGGCTGGGCCGAGATACGACAAGCTGGTTAGACCATGCCAAAGAAAGAAATGGTGGCTGCTACAGTGAGCTCTGTGTGGAAGACATAAGATTTTTCTTCACTCTCCTTCTGCTCTTTATTTCTCAGCTCCTATACAGAATATGCATTATGCAGGTAAGGATGGGGGATGAATGCTCCCTCCACAACATGACGGTGATGGTGTGTTGACAGCACAAGGATGTGCATCTTCCCTCCAACAAGCGCTCGCCATGTGTGTCCTTTGCCAGGCAGTTATCCCGCAAAAAAACAAAAATCAGAGCTTCTAATCATTCTAGGCTCTGATTTCAGGAGTTAAGCAGGGTCAGGCAGAGGCATACCCGAGGAGCCTCTGGGTATGTGTTTCTTTTGTGGAACTATAAATGCCAGGCAGTAGGTGTAGACAATGCTTCTGAGTGCGAAGTTATAAAGCCCCGGAGCAATCCCTTTCTACCTTCATCAGATCTACGGGCAATTACCAAACCTCTGTTTAGCCAAAGCTTTTGTCTTCCTCCCTCATTAAACCTTTAAAAAGGGGTGCTCCCAAGTAGCTAACATGCCTGATTTCGGCACCACCTCTACTGTACTCTTCAGTACTAATGAGCAAGTGATTCTCTCCCCACCCACTCTGTTCATTCCTTGGGGAATCAGTCCCTCTCTGTGAGAAAATCAAGGGAGAATGCGAAGTACAAAGGATCTCTTACGGATGTCTGTGATTTAAAAAAGAATCCAGTGTGGTTATTGTGAAAAAGTAACATATTTATAGAGAAAATATATGATTATAAAAATCTTCAAACAAATTTGGACTTTGTTCATGGCTAACCCGCAGCTTGGAATTTAGAAGCTAACACATGAATTGTATTCATAAATCACAGGACATTAGAGCTGTAAAGAAACATAGAGGTTAGCTTCCTCAATGACAACGCCATCTGTTGAAAAGAAGACTTAGGCTCCAAAAAAGTAAACATTTTTTAGAGGGAAGTGGTGGTAGGTCAGAGTTCCTAGTAGCGCGAGGAAAAGCAGAATCTCCCTTCTGTCTCTCAGGATAATGCCATTCCTCTAAGCCGGGGGGTTGCACACTGCCTCCAGCCAAATGCATCCATTGCCTACTTTTCTATATCCTGCAAGCTAAGGAGGGTTTTTACATTTTTATATGGTCAAAAGAAAAGAGATGAAAGAATAGAATTTTGTGACACATGAAAATTATATAAAATTTAAATTTCAGTCTCCATATATAAAGTTTTATCCAACATAACCATGCTTGTTAGTTTATCATGCCTGTGTCTGATTGGAATGAAAACAGCGGGGTTGAGTCATTGTCCCAGAGATCCTACGTGGACATATTACTATCTAACCCTTTATGGAAAAGTTTACCACCCTGTAGTCTAAATAATACATGAAAGCTAGTCTAATTTAGGAAATGCAGCTCTCCTCTTGTCTCTACAATAGTAGTTGCAGAACAGAATACAGCAGAAATATTACACGTCTATGTGAGCCGTAGTGTCATAAAACATCTTAGAACAGGGAAATTAATAACGAGTACAAGATTACCAAGTGGTCTATAGGTTGCCTCAAAACCGTCTGTGCAAATAGCACAAATTATCAATTCCTTCTCTTCATAATGCAATGACACCATTAGATTTGTGTCTTCTCTGAAAACTGGCATATATTTTTAAATATGATACAAACTACAATATTTTTATAAACTCATTCTCAAGCACCTCACCAAATCTAGATGCCCAGGGTATTGTCAGAAAAAGAACAAAAACTAATACTGATCAACTATTTGTGTAATAGCTTTTAAAAGATGGATTACAGTATCCAATTGAATCTCCACTGAGAGCCTACATGGCTGATAGTATTATCCTAAATCTGAGGCTCAGAGACTTTAAGTAACTTGCAACTTGCTCCCTGTCCTCCTGTTTGTATACGGCAGAGTGTCGTCCCAATTCTGGGCTGGTGTTAAGGTCCATGCTTTGTTATGACCCACATCCTCCCTTACAATTCCGATGCAAACTATATAGATTCCAAAATGACATACAGTGATGTTATGCTAGAACCTTCAAAGAAAATAGTCAGATTATTACTTCTCCAGAGAAGCAGAGGAAACTTCCAGAGGAACAGGCTGGGATTAGGTTTTTGGCCCCAGATGAAATAATCACCAGTGCAAAGGTGATCAAAGTACCAAGAATAAAACGTCATGGAATTCCATATTTTAAATTTAGTAGCCATTACTGACCTTCACTGCCAAGACATACATTTAAAATATGTTGATATTAAGGCTGAGGAGGTTGCCATTTCACATTCCTGGCCATTCAAAGGTGAAAATAAATCTCTATCGACAGTAATTATTTCTAAATACTCAGAGGCTTGTATGAAATAAAAGTATTTAAAATTTTAAAAGGGGATGATTTCAGAACTTGAGGCAGAAGCAGAAATGATTTCAAGCTTTCAAGACACTGGAGCCTTTTCTTAGATTAGGCAATATATTAATATTGCTTCACTAAAGATTAATAGTACATTTGCCACATTATTAAGTTAACAGATTTCTGTGTCTGTGATTCATGCCGATAATAACTTTATTCCTATTAACAATAATTCTCATTTGAAATCAGTAACAGAAACTTCCAAGTTGTGCTGGGAGCCTTTCAGTCATAGAGCTGTTCCACTGCCAGCACTTTTTGTTAAAACACATCATTCATTTTCCCCTGATTGGAGAAAACCTGCTTAATAATTTCACTGAAGTAGGGCAGAACTATCCAATGTTCCCTGCACTCTTGCCATCTGTGCCCAACCAAAACAATCCTTGTTTACTATCCTAAAGGGTCAAATTAAAGATTGGAAGAAAAATTATCCACCAGGACACGTTTTATAGAGATGGAAAGAATTTCAATGCAAATGTGGTCCTTTCCCGTGTTTGGGCAGTTAACACAGCGATAGGCTCATTTTACGATTGGTAGATCCTTAACAGATGTCCTGACTCCATGACTCTGATTCTACTTATATCCTCTCAAATGGTGGAATTGAGGATAGAGAAGGAGTTAGTGAAGGATTCAAATGAGAAGTTATCATCTGAAGCTTGAGCAGAGCTGCTCTCCCAGGGTGGCGGCGAGACGGGAATCCTAATGCACTGCGAGAGAAAAAGTTTGGAGAATCCACTCTTAAGGGGGAAGACTTGGTCGACTTTCCATCCATGTCACTCAGTAGCTTTGTGTGCCACTGAGAATTTTAAAAAAAAGTACCACGTGCTACTAATGCTTGTGACGCAGATGCCGTGATTGTAACAAAGCTTGTGGACTACAACAGTGGAGAGATGTCCCTTTCACACGACCCCATGCCAGGGTTGTGATATCATAACCTACCGAGAGGCATGGCATACATGAAGAGGCACTGAGATAGTGTTGGGGACTTAGTTAGCATTAGGGTTATTTTAAAAATAAAGAAATTCTGACCATATATTGAAGGACTGGGGTGGAGCATGGGGTCTCTTGTACTTCATCACGCAAACCATTTTCACGTAGTTTCCTTTGTGCAGCACTAGTACCACACAAGTCCAGGAGAACCTCCTAGCTGACCGCCTGCCCATATTGACCACTTTCTTAAGTTGGCCTAATAATCCTAGATATGACAGGTGCCACAGGTACGTGTCAGTGCAGTAGCTACCTTATGTTAATCACCTCTGTATGCTGACCAGTTTGTTACAGCTCTCTGTTCTCCTGTAGTTTAAAAGGAAGGCACAGACACAGGGAGCCCTTAGCAATAGCCTTAAACAAGTGCTGTGTTCACGTTGTTCATGTTGAACCTCTCTTCTTAGGAAAAATTTATTCTTATCTCTTTTGCCACCAAAGTAGATGCTATTCAAAGAACTGATTCTGGTTCCAACTTTTTCATCAGGGTAAAAGCAGACATCATTAATACTTTCTTCTGGTTTTGGATTAATGTTCATAAAGGAAAGTCATTTTGCTAATGTCCAGAGCTTAAGTTGCTTGATTCCTTATGCACTGTCCTAAGCACAAAATTAGCCACCATTATTTTTCATAGAAAAATTAAGGTAGACTAAATGACAATAGAGACTTCCACAAAGAATCAGTATTGACAGTAGACTAACAGCTCCTGCTCCACAGATGAGGCCCCTTTATCAGCTCTTAATTGGGGCCCTGGAAAGCTGGGATACCCAGCCCATCTATCATGGAGTCCGTGCAAGGAGGAAGGCATCTGATGGGGGACACTTCCTTCAGAGGTAAACCACTGTTTTAATGTGTGGCCGCTTCTCCCCTCAAATACAGATTCCTTCAGGATATTATCTCCAGACCATGAATTCCAACCTGAATTTGGATGGATTTCTTCTGCCAATTGCAGTAATGAGTGCCATCAGCATCCTGCCATTACTAATTCTGGCTCCCTTTATGGAGTATTTTAGCACCTGCCTATATCCCTCTAAGAGAGATGGACCATTTCTATGGGCATGTATTAGTAAGTACAGCTTACCATTTCAACTGAATTGTTCACAACTTTAAAAAACAAAACAAAACACTCTGCTGAGATCTAAACTAGTTGTGTGCTCCTGAGTCAAGTCAGATTTTGACAAATTAGAAAAGTAGTGAATTTGTAAGTAGGAACATCCAGCTTCAGTGTCTAGCCTGCATTCCGTCCTTTTATGCCTCCTTGGGGCACACATCTAACATAAATTCCCAGCACCTCTACATGGCCTATATCCTTCTGCAAATGGGGCAATCTTTACTCCCAAGTCAATGCTAAATATATCCTTAAAAATAAACACACATAATGAATCCCCCTCCCCAAATAATTTAAATTTCTGAACCAGTAGTAAATGTAATGTAAACCAGTAAACCAGTAAATGTATTGAAACTTAGCATTATGATTCAGAACTTCAATATAGCGCTTCTTCAAATAGCAAGGTACATGGAAATAATGATTTTTGAAAAAATTTTTTAAAGTGAAACAATTTAGCTATCTTATTCAGAACAAAATAAATAGATCATAAAATGAAATTTCTTTCATTAAAATGGGAGACAAGGAGCTGAAATCCATTCTGACTGCACTCTCCTCTGTCCGTATTCCTGCAGTCACCCTCAAGAAACAAGGAAACAGGTTCAGTAAAACCAGTCTCCATCTGAGAATGAGAGATCTGGGTCTTACTCCGTGCTCAGCCACTCAACTGCTCCCCGGTGTCTTTGAACAAGCCACCTCATCTTTCTTGTTTTCTGTTCGCTTATTTTTTCATTATTTTTTTTTTTAATACCCTAGGTAATGAAAATCTTGGGTCCCTTTGTTCTACAAAAGTTTTGAAATTATCAGGATGATGTCAGTGCTTACAATATAATCCTGATGCCTACTGAAAGCACCATTATTATGAGTTAAATATCAAGTTACACATCTAATTGTTTGGTGGGCAAAAATAGAAAGCAAAGAGGGGTCCAAAATCTTAAGACATGCATGCAGTGGGACCCTGATGTCCTCTGCTTGAGAAATAATTCCATTGAGATCATCAAGATTCTCTTCTTTTGGCTAACCTGTTTTTATTCTTTTGGTTTGTTTATTTGTTTCATTTTTTTTTTCTGTTTCTTTTTGTTTTTGAGACAGACTCTCACACTGTTGCCCAACGTAGAGTGCCGTGGCATCATGGCCCACAGCAGCCTCAAACACCTGGGCTCACACAATCCTCCTGCCTCAGCCTCCTGAATAGCTGGAACTACAGATGCCTACTACCAATGTCTGGCTAATTTTTTCTTTTGTTAGTACATATAGGATCTCACTCTTGCTCAGGATCCTGAGTTCAAAGTTTCCTCCAGCCTCAGCCTTTCAGAAGTGCTGGGATCACAGGTGTGAGCTACCATGCCATACAGTCTTCTAGTCATTCATACTTTCCATTGCTTCTGTGTTTACAGAAGTTAGATTCTACTATGTGTGTTCCCTGTTATTTATCAAAACCATAAACAAGATCACTCCAAATGATGCCATGGGCTGGGCTTATTTTTGGTTAGAACTAAAAGTAACTAAAGTCACCTTAGTTTATTTTATTACCTTCAACTAGAAAGGCCTTTAGTACACAATCTTCTTTGATTTATATCTTAAGCCGGTAACTTCATCTTTATGTATCAGAATAGGCTTTAACAAACTATACACCTTAATAGCTCTTAACAATTCCCAAATCTTAAAAAGTGCTTTTGAGTCTGCCAATGTACAAATCCAAAGTCAGTGAGGATGTAGTGAATGCCCAACATTACCCTGGGCATTGTGAAGATACAGAAGGAAAGGGAGCCATTGGACGTATATGCCCTCAGCAAATACGCTATTGAAACAGAATGAATGCAGGGCACAAGAAGGATAAATTTATATCGCAAAGTTCCAAACATCTGTGAGCCTTGTATAGTATTACAAAACATCCCAAACTGGGTTATCAAAGCATGCTAATTTGATTTTTACAAATGGAAAAATCTGGGCTACTTCAGGAAAATATACTATACAACAAGTACAATATGGCTTATAGAACCACATTAGAGGCCCTGAGGGGAGGGGAGGAGGGGGTTGGGTGGAAGGAGGGTAATCAGAGGGACCTCACCTATGGTGCAAGGGTACGTGTCAAATCTATTAAGAGTAGAGTATAAATGTCTTAACACAATCATTACGTAAGTGAGCTGAAGGCTATGTTAACCAGTTTGATGTAAGCATCCCAAATTGTATATAAAACCAGCACATTAATGCATTAATTACCCCATAAATGCATTAATGTACACAGTTACGATTTAATAAAAAAATTAAGAGTATAAAAATTAAAAAAAAGAAGGCTTTCGTCAGAATAAGAAATCTTAAATTTACTTTAAGTATGAACAACTTTCTCTTGGACAATTCTCAACTCCTGCGTGTTTGAAATAATGGTTAGTCCTGGAATATTTTCTTTCTGGATAGAGAAAAGTTAGACAGAGTTATCTAGTATATTGTCTGATGTGGGTAATGAATTAAATATTCCCCTTCAAGACTGGTAATAAGACCTGTTGCATAGGAAAAAGAAAAACACTAGACTCACTTCAAAAGAAACTAAGATGTGCTCCACTGGGTACAGAATACTGAGTTCAGTTGTTTCTGAACCAGACTCCATTCGTTCATTCATTTGCATACTTGTTCATTTATTGGCATAATATTTTGCTATGGGAATATAAAAGTGTGATGATATGCATCTTTTAAACTAGATATTTAGTTAAGTTTTCTACATTCTGGTTATGATTATGGAAGATTAACAAGTTTTATCAGGACATAAAAGTATAAACCTAGGGTACTTTTTTATATTCATTTACATAATCAAATTAGTCTAAAATTAAAATTCCCTTTCACTTGGAACTCAAGTGCCTGAAAATTTGGGTGAAGTATATAATTTTATGAATTATGAATGAACATACTTTTATTAGTTCCCAGTTTGAACCTTGGCACCTTTATGTATGTAACACATTTACCTTCAAGACAAACCATCCTTTAAAAGATCAAGATAGTATCACAAAGATAGTGTCACTTGAATTCAGGTCTTCTAAGGCAATTAAATACTATTATTATTATTATTATACTACTTATCAGCTGTGCATAGCTGTTAGGTTATAAGAGTTAAATTATCAGTGTGACCTTGGAATCCTTACTGCTATCTCCAGTTAGCTCTCTCTTTTTATCCCCACAATGGGTAGTTATTTCTCAGCTTTCTCTCTCCTTTTCATATTCAGTCATTCCCCTCCCAGGGATTGTCATGTTAAAGGGTGGGGAAGAAAACCACAATGCCCACTATTTGGCATGCAAAATCACAGCCCAGACCTAGAGCAAGAGATGGGGAGATTTCACCCAGTTGGTCAAACTAGAAATTCAATAAAGGGAAACAGAAACTTATTTTCTTGACTTAACTTATAAACAACACAAAGAAAGAAGGGTTTGCAGTTCAAGATATGACATTCTTGAGTTTCTTGCCTAATGAAGTCAAGAAGTACTATAAAAAACAATCTACAAACCTTCCAGGCCTGTGAGATGCAAAGACTTGATATGGTCAATACTTATCAAGACAGTATTTTGTCACTATTACATTTGAGTGGATTTACCTATTTAAACACCAACTTTAATTCATTACAAATCTAGATCTAGGGATATCATTGTAACTTGTCTTCTGTCATAATTGAAAATACTTCGTTTTTAGTTTTTCTTTTTTTTTCAGTTCAAAAGGGTTTATACTATGAGTATTTCCTTTTCTTAGCATTAATTAAAATGCTGCAGTACATGGTATTCAGTAGTTAGTGCTGACACACACAAGTATTAATCTGACTAAATTTAGCCTAATTAAGATTGCTACCGAGTCTTACACAAAGCAAAAGTGTATGACAGAATAGGTAGCAATTATCTTTGCTTTTAAATAACATTTAACTTGAAAGGCAGATGAAGTATATTCACATATCTGCAAGACCTTCCTCTTTAAAATACTAACCTGAGAATTTAAATTCTAACTAAAAGCATTTTATGATCCAGGTATGGCCAAAGTGTTGGTTTCTTTATACATAACCAGTAAACTGGTTCCAATAATTGTATATAGTCATACAAAGTCCTCTTTTTCTGTTTGGTTCAAACCAAAATTAAAAATCAAGTCAGGGATCCAGTCTCCTTCATCGAAAGCAGGATTACCTCAGGCAAAATTTCTTTCTTTTACATAGTTTTCAAACTGATACAATTTCCCAAGAAACACAGGGTGCACCCATGGCAAAGTATTCAATAGGAGGAACCGTGAAATAGCAAGAGAAGTAACCCCTAAATGTGTAATCTGAATAAGTCATTCATTCAGTTGTTCATTTGCTTGATGAAAGTACATTACTGTCCTCAATTCCTAAAGGTAACATCAAATTGGAATTAAATTTAAGGTGAAGTAGATTATCCAATACACCATCTGAAGCAATAATAGATGTCTTCTGGATATGCATTTGTGTATCTGATTTCTATGTAAATGAATTCTCTGTTCTATATTCAGAAATTAAAACACAAACCGAAGCTGAATCTCCTGAAATGACTTTCAATGATCTGAAGAGAAATAAAAGACAGAAGATGGATAGCCCACATCAAACATAGCAACATGCCATTAATAGGAGAAACAAACAAATAAAAAATACATACCATTCTAATAGTGAGTGAGAAATAGCTTCCCTAAAGGCATCCGATACATCTGACAATAAAATTATATGCCTCTGTGATAGTATTTCATGGACACCAGTATGTTCTGACATGAGAAAATCTCCTATTCTGGGAATTTGCCAAACTCACCGGTCCATGGGGAATTTCTGAAGGACTTGGTAGGATTTCATACTTATCATTGTTAGCCTACGTATCAGAGTCATATATCAGACTACCTATAGAACCCCCATTGTCTTCTTAGTGGATAAATTTAGCCAATACCTAAAGAATCTGAACACACTCTTGTTTTTAGTTTTAAAGAAGACAAAAATGTTTAAACCATAGCAGTTATTTACCCAGATATTTTAGGGCAAAGCACATTTTACCTGCAAGATATTGATAATTGTGTTTACTTTTTATTTGCTCCTGCACTTTGGTGTCAATGAAAAATGACTTTTTAAAAAATTCAAAGCAAAGTTTGATCCCAGCCTAAATTGAATCCACTCCATTTTTAATTCTTACCTTGTTTGAGATCACAGCATACCCAAAGCAGAGTGCAGTTTATCAGAATGCACACATTTTAAACTTCCAGCAGATCTGTATTTACAAGATAAAGTACAATGGTTCTAAAGGAGATACTGTATTCAGATAAATAATGTATGTTTTTAGTACTGGTTACCTGGCTGCAGACAAGTCCATAAGTGTCTTGAAGTTCTTACAGTTTATTCTATTATCTCACTATGTAATAATTTTACAATAAAGATAGGAGAATTTATGTCCATACCAAGGTTGTACTTGACATCTTATATTGGAGCTAAATGTAATACTAAAAACAAGAATGTGTTCGGGAAAGAGTTAAGATGTCCAAGAAATACAAAAATTGATGTGGCTGAAACACATTGGGAGGAAAGGAGACAGTAGCAAGCAATCAGAGTGGAGCAAGAAGCTCAGGGAAGATCATACAGGCCACGTTAAGAATTTCTGCTTAATTGTATGGAAACCCATGGAAGCTGGAGAGCAACTTTGCAATTTGTATTTACGCAAGATCACTCTGGGGCTTAATAGGTTAGAGATGGAAACAGGAAGACAATTTACTATGCAGTTGTACATCATCTTTTTAAAAACCAGACTGGCTTGACTTAGAATGATAGTAGTGGCTATGGGAAGAACCAAACTAATTTGTCATATCTGACTGACCTCTTGAGCACAGACCACCTGCCCCCTACACAATCAAATATTTGTGTACAATTTTTGATTCTTTAAAAACTTAACTGCTGATAGCTTACTTTTAACCAGAAGCCTTTCTGATAACATGAATGGCTGGTTAACACATATTTTATGTGTTATAGGTATTAAATACTGTATTCCTGCGATAAAGTACAAAACAGAAAATGTTATTAAGAAAATCATGGAAGAAAAAACATATTTATTGTTCATTAAGTGGAAAGGGATCCTTATCTAGGTCTTCATTCTCATCATCGTCTTCATGCTGAGTTGGCTGAAGAGGAGAGAAGGAGGGGCTTCTCTGTCTCAGGGTGGCTGAGGTGGAAGAAACTCCAAGCATAAGGGACCCATGTTGTTGAAGGGTAAACTGTATTTTGCATCTACAGAACTTACTGGTGCATTTGGAGGGGCAGGGGGAGAGATCTGGAGGAGATCTGAAGAGTGTAGGAGAATAAGAGGAAAAGAGCAAAAATTCTGTTTTATGTATCCTCTGCCTTGAAACCTTTTCTTAGTCACTATCTTTCTGATGTTTCTTTCAATGATTTTACTTATTTTTCTTGTTCTAAGAACAAGCTGATACATCACACATGCTTGATACCTTACCTACACCTTCTGTTCTCCCCCTTCCCAATCCTCCTCCAATTTTGTCTCACCTAAACTCCAACTCTAAGCAGGTGGTTCATTCTTCTTTCTTGACTCAACCAATCTCCTGAGCTAAGGCTCACCTTTTCAATTGTTTTCTGATCACTTCTCTTTAGATGACCCCTTTGTGGCTCCAACTCAACTCTAAACTCGGGCTCTCTACATCTACCATGGGTCGCATTTACATTACTGTCACGACCATCTTTTTGGTCACCTGGACTCATGTTCATCACTGACGACTGCTTCCTCCTTGCTCTTTGCTTCAGTTGCTATGGTTTTCTCAGTAGACTCTATAGCATCTTGCGTTCCTACCTTCCTTATCTTTCCCTGAAGTGGACGTCCTGATTGTAGCTTAAGCCCACCATTGTACTTTACCGGGATGATTTTTATAACTTCCTATCTTCCTGCCTTCAATATCTTTCCCATTCTATCAACCAACATAGGACCTTTAGAGCAATCATCCTAAATGACAAGACTAATCATTTCACTTGTGTCTAAAATCTTCATTGATTCTATTACCTTTATAATTTCCAAATTCCCTTAAGAGTGTACCTTATGATCTGATCCCAATCTGCCTTCTCCCTTGATTCCCAAATTCCCAAATACCTTGAGTATTTAACCATCCTAAAATTTTTTTCTGATATTTTCACAACTCTATGCCTTTGATGACTTCACCTTTTCATACTGAAACCCTTCTTTTTTTTAAGCATAAAATGCTCTTGCCTCTCTCTAACTGGTAATAAATTCTTCTTCTGATGTTCGCCTATAGAATATAAGTATACAATGACTGAGAACAGACTTTTTAAATCTTCTATCCCCTACCGGGCCTTGTATACTACCATGCATGTACCAGGAACAAAGTAAACATTAAATTGAATTGACATATTAACACTCTTTCTGATGAGTTTATAATGTGGCAAGTAATTTAAATAAATGTGACTGTGTGATGAATTTGATCCTAAAAACAGATATGTGAAATTCACATTTTTTTTAATATGAGCTGTGTACAGGACCAAAATCTCTAATTTACTATGAAGGGGCCTTTATAGAACTTAATTTAAAATAAACATAAATTTTAAAATTCCTGAAATTTTTGAACAGATATTCAGGTTTCCTCATTTCTTTTTATACTTTCCATTTCTTGGGGACCCAGTAAAGAGCAGTCTTCATGAATACATTTAAATGCTGAGATACAATCCAAAAAATTTGCCTACCAGTTTCTCTATCAACCAAAACAAACACTAAGCTATTTAAACATTAGATTGATTTTTCTGCATTGAAAGCTCTGCCTTATCTAAAATTTTATGCAAGTTAGCAAAATGTGACTATCTCTAAATTTCAAGTAAATTCCATCAAGCTAAAGTTTACCTCTGCTCTAACGATAGGATTAAGTCCAGTAATATGAATGATAAATTGAGAAATGGAATGGTTACAGGAGATACAGACTCTGTAACAAAATCCCAACTCAAAAACTTCCTAGACGATTTCTTAAAAGGGAGAGAAAGACTTTCACCACTATCTGAATAATTGTTTGCATTTATGCTCTTCACCTAGCTAATACGTCTCTTTAGGAAATAGTTTCCTAAATAAAAGTTTCTAGTCTTTATTTCTCTAATAGCTGCTCTACTCTTTCTGCTGTGATTAGAAAAATGACAGAAAACTGAGGCCTGATAATGCCTTGAGGTTATTTTAAAACCATTTTTAAAATAATAACTAAAATTATATGAAGAGATAATAATTTCATTTTAAATCTCCCCCAAATCACTTTTGATTCATCTCTATCTTTAAAAAAAAGTTATCTGGGGTATATATGTTTTCTGAGGATAAAAGTTCAAAACCACTTTTTTGTATTTAATACAAATAATAATTGCTAGTAAATCCTAGTGGCAACCTTCAGATTCAACCAACTTTATATAAAAATTTTTAAAAAGAGATACTTCTGTCTGTACTGAACATGCACAAATTTTTGTTTCCACCCTGTCCTTATTCCCTAAATAATGCAACATAATAACTGTTTACACAGCATTTATGCTGATTAGGGATTATAGGTAAATTAAAGGTGATCAGTATACAGGAAGATGAGCATAGGTCACATGAAAATACTCCTCCATTTCCGATCAGGAACTGGAGCATCCCATACATTGGTGCTCTTAGTGGATCCTGGAACCAACCCCCCCGTGGGTACCACTTGTCCTATTTCAATCCTACAACCACCCTACAAAGTAAGCCCACTTTAGAGCTCCGAAAAGTGAAAATGAGCTTAAGCTACTGGATTGAGGTTATATAACCAGTAAATTAGGCCTGGTCCGAGTCAGTTCAGCCCTTTCTGAGGCCAGAACGTAAGTACTGGGTGGCCATACAACACAGATAACAGGTCTGGGCATCCCAAGGGCAAAAATACGTTGAGGAGACAGCCCCTCGTGTCAAGGTATAAGAAATGTTAGGACTATTACACAAATTTCAAGCTCTTTCTTTAATATATTTTTCTTTTGCCTTCTTTTCCTTCAGTTGCTGGAAATCTCTCTGCTGCGTTTTCTGTGATGGTCGCGGGCTTCTTTGAAATACACAGAAAACACTTCCCTTCAGTGGAGCAGCTTCTTTTAGGCAAAGTTCTCACTGTTTCTTCCATGCCCTGTTTCTACCTGGTTCTTCAGTACGTTTTACTTGGAGTAGCTGAAACTCTGGTAAACCCAGCCTGTGAGTAACTATTTTTTTTAACTAATGTTAGAGCATAAGAAGTGCGATCTGTAGACAGAACCCATCACCTCCACAGGAGCAGTTAAAACAGTAGGTGATCTAGTCACCCTGGAGATTTCCCACAGTGATTCAAGGAGGCCTCTTCATCACTCTCATTTTTAAAAACGTTTCATTTCTCTTCATTCCTCTACCACATACAGACCAATTGTTAACTCTGCCCGGATCTAGATTGAATAAAAGGTTCACTTACCTGGTTAAAGGCAATAACCATGTGATCAGTAACATGACAGGAAGGAAAAACACTGGCTAAACCCAGAAGACAGCGCCAACAAATGCAGACGACATCTCTTCTCTTCTCTCTTTCCTGTCCTCTTGCTGTCTCCCTCTCTCTCACTCAAAGATAAACTAACATCTATACTCCTCCAAAAAGGACATTTAATGTACTCTGAGAGTGTATAAACATGCAAATGAAAATGTGCACCAATTTTCCAGATAACTCAATGTCTTTAAATTAAGTTATGCTAGATTAAATGTGATCACGAATGCTTCATGAGACATGTTCAAAATAAGTTTATTAAATATCAAGGGCTTCTGAATTGTCCCTATAGTAATTAAACTAGCCACTTATAAATGTATCATAATATTTCAGTAACTTCCTGCCATATGGTAGTGTGCGTACATACCTATATTAATCAGTGCCGTCTCTCACATCTTATGTTGCTACCCTGCTTATATTTTCCTATAGTGGAAACCCTGTCTGTAACTCAAGCCCCTGTTACACTTTGCTGATAATATTTATGACTTCCTACCTTCAACCTGTCCATTCTATCAACCTTCCCACAACCTCTAGAGTGATTATCCTAAGTGATGTTTAACTTTTATCTAAATTTTTCAATAATCCCGTTTAACTTTTATGTAAATTCTTCAGTGGACTTGGTGCCCGTAGCTTAGTGGCTAGGGCACTGATCACATATACCAGGGCTGGTAGGTTCAAACCTGGCCCGGGCCTGCTAAAACAAGGACAACTACAACAAAAAAATAACTGGGCATTGTGACAGGTGCCTGTAGTCCCAGCTACGTGGGAGGCTGAGGCAAGAGAATTGCTTAAGCCCAAGAGATGGAAGTTGCAGTTAACTGTGACACCACGGCACTCTACCAAGGGTGACATAGTGAGACTGTCTAAAAAAAAACTTCAATGATTCCATTATTTTCAAAGTTATTTCCAAGTTCCTCATATATATTTAATAAGTATGCATTTATACATACACATTTATATACATAAATCATACCAAAACTATTCATTAAAAAATCAAAAATAAAATTGTTAGGGTAAAGACATATATATGTGTGTCAGACTTCTCTTATTATAATTTCAAATCATTTCATCCTACATATTATACATGAATAAGTTATCACATGAGATTCTATAATGGGGACACCACTGTTTAACACTGTAAGGAATACAAAAAAAGAGTAAATGAATGTCACCATGCAAACGTTTGTGATCTTCCCTGGTGTTATTTTCAGAAAACTGTTAGAAGTAGTTTAGCCAAATTTTCTGGGATAGATGTGCAGTAATGAGTGAATACAGGGAGAAAATTCCTGGCCACCTTATCAATAGTGGTTCAACAAACAGAAGCTGGAGAGGTACTTACAAGTAATGACTGTTAAGAAGGCAGATCATGTAATATAAATTATTTAGTCCACCTCTCCCTGATTTGCTGACGAGGAAACTGAGGTCTAATTCAGTCAATGGACTCATCTGCTATAGGAGTCATTGGCAAAAGACTGAAAGACTTTGGTTTGATTTCCAGCTCTCCACTTACTACCTATGTGAACTTGGGAATTCATTGAACCGCCAAGCTTCACCTTTCTGATATTTAAAATGGAAATAATTATTATTCTTTCTTATGCCACAGCATTAAGGCAATAAGTGTGATTCACTACATAAACAAAAGCAAAAACAAATACCATACGATGGGCGGCACCTGTGGCTCAAGGAGTAGGGCGCCGGCCCCATATGCTGGAGGTGGCGGGTTCAAACCCAGCCCCAGCCAAAAACTGCAAAAAAAAAAAAAACTAAATACCATATGAT